ATGAAAACTTAAAGTGAAATTGGATGGAACTTTGTGAGACATGGTTAATGCATGTGGAAGACCCTAGGAGAACATTGGTGTTTAAATATATGCACGTGATGAGTAGTATATGAATGACTGAACAAAATTTCCCTGAAAGCACACAACCTGTTTCGCGGTCCTTGCCGCACGTTAGGCATGCATATCCGGCAAGCTTCTGCCTGGTCATTCATGTACTAGTACCGAGGATGTGCATTTTCGTTACAATAACCTTGTTTGCAACACCGGGTGACTTTTGGATGGACAGCTCTTCTAGAGCCAGTCCATTGAAGAATCAATGCTATGATTCAATGTTTTGTAGATGAGTAGGATGCTACTAACCTCAACAAACGTGACTTCATAGTCTTGATAGAATATTTCATAATAAGTAGCATGTGAATGACTGAACACGATTTACCTGAAAGCACACGATCGGTTTATTGTGATCAAAATACACCTCCAGGGTACATTTATATGAATGAACTGACAAAATACTACCAGATACGCATGCCTGAGGAGCGGCAAGAACCGCGAAACCGGTCGTGCTCCCAGGGAAAGTTTGTCCAGTCGTTCGCATATTACTTATTATGAAATATATATACATATATATCTTCGTCTTATTGTAAAGATTTGTTAGAATAAATAATCAGAAGAAGAAATAATCAGTCAGGTTGTGAACGTTTCCAACCGAGTCATAACCCTGGAGGCTAGTGCTGAGTTGAGCAGGGTCCGTGGCCCGCAACAAACTTGCGAAGNGATGGGTTGTCCTATATCGTGTAAATGAAAGATGAAGAACGGTCTGATCAACTGCCCGGTGGCGTATTGGGTAGCACACTTGCGTTCTGCCCATGAAGTCCCGGGTTCGAGCCCCTGTCGAGTCGATGGATTCGCATTTCTGATGAGACCCAACCAGGTCGAAACAGCTGTCCAGTGCTTCCGAGCTTTTCAGTTCACGCTTCATTTGCTATATACACGACGAATTCCCATTTGAAATTTGTTAGGATAACCAAATACCGGTGCAGCTGAGTGCAGGTGATGACACAGATGCTCGAGGTGCATGCGTTCGCGGTGTATGCGCATATGTCGGGAGCAGGATTCTCAAGATGACAATATTCAACAAGAAGCATGACATCGGGCATATGGATAAACTGGTCTTCGATCAAATGACGCTTCCAACCAATGATGGCAAACATAATCCAGGTCACCCCAAAGCCGTTCCTCTAGACATGTGAGGTTTTCTTAGTTAATCACATGAGATCCCTAGATGGAACGGATCTCATTGAAAAAACTTGGGCGTCGTGCTCATGACTATTGGGGAAATTAACTTGGCTTAGCCACGACGAACGAAAAAACAAAAACACAAGGCTTTGGTGACAACGTTTCGACCCTTTAATCGTATAATCTCACGTGAGAAGAAGTTGTAAGGCGATGGGATGACGACATCGCATAGAACTGGGATGTGATTCGAGCATACGTGTATGTGTGTCTGTGTGTTAGTGATCGTTCGACGGGTGGTTGGGACGAGTGAAGTTGGTTTGACCTTTAGGTCAAAACGTGTGAATCGGTCATTTAGCATTGGGGGTGGGGACGAGACTATTTTGTATGCACAAGTGTCAATTGTTGCCATAACTATGGAATGGCTCCCCCATCGGAACGATTGACTGTCGTAGGTTCAGTGTTGATCAGGAGCGCTTCGGCTACCAAACGTTCCTTGTGATTTCTGAACCCACGTGTTAGAATATGTGGGATTTGAAATCAACTTCATGTCCTTTGAACATTAGTGACCAGTGATTGCGAAATCGTTTCACTCGATTCGAACCTGCTGCATCATTTGGAATCTTTTTCATTAGACGCATCTGCTCAGTCATTTGTTTGTCTAGGCTTCTGGACGTTTGGCCGATATACGTTACAGGACAGTCTAGACAACGTATTCCATAGACTACGTCAGAAGTGTCCCCCTCTTCACGCGAGTCTTTGAGGTTAACCAGTTTTGAGTAAATTGTTAGTTTTTGAACACAACCCTCATGTTGACATGGTATAGTATCCATCGTATGTGTGCGGACGTGTTTTTAAGATATGGAATCACAACAATTGACAACCAATCGTTTTTCGGCGTAGTTGACTGTTGACGTTTGACTTTTTGATGTACTCCTTCGGACATTCGTTATCTGCTAATTCTCTAGTAATCCGGCTGCTCTTTCTATTGGTTACTTGTTTCCGAGCTCTAGTAAATAGACTAAGGTCTACTGAAGTCTTAATGCTGGTGGAGTGGTCAGAATGGAAGTTGAGGCATCGTCACCTATGTGTGTCTTTCACATGTATCGTCACCGATACTTTGACGGAGCCCAATCAAGAAAATTTAGGATGGTGTCAGTCGCTTCTTGTGTGAACTTGATTTAATTGTGAAAATCATTTAAAAATTGTGTGGATATTTCGACATGCACTTTCTCTATGACGACAAAGGTATCGTCCACGTAGTGCCACTAGACTCTTGGTACCAGAGTTATCGAATTCAGCAGCCATTGTTCCAAATCTTCCATGAACAAGTTCACAATTATCGGTGAAATGATTGATACCATGACCACACCGTCAGTTTTTGTTTGTAGAGTGAACGGTTATACACAAATAACGTTGACTTCGGACAGAGTTCAGTTGCTTCTCATTACTTTGTCAGCTGTCAAGTTCCTTCGATCACTGAGTGTGTGGTCGCTGTTCGGACGACGTCTCATTGGAGTTCTACACAATGTCGTCATCCCATTGCCTTACAAGTGCTTTTGTCACGTGAGATTAACCAATTAAACGACTTGAGAAAGGCCTTCCACGAGGGTCGAAACGTTGACATCAATGCCTTGTATTTTCGTTTGTCGTGGCTAAGACAAGCGAATTTCATCAGTTCACTTTATTTATTTTATAACGTAACTTTCCAAATGTAATTCAAATTGAAAAAAATCTATTTCACTTTCTCATGGAATCGGCCACAGATGAAGAACAGAAACAAATAAAAAAATCTACTGTTATGGGACTAGTTACTAGTCCGAGCAGAACCAATAGAACCAATGTGATTGGAAAAGCGGGAGGCAAAATATGCAACCGCTAACTAACCTTGGCCTTGGTCAATGGTTTTACCTTCTTCATGCCCCGATTTGTGTAGAAATTCAATCCGGATTGCATACTGATAATGGTATGCCATCCCATTGGATCGAGAAAAATATTGTGCACCCGATCATCTGTGGATCTGGTGATTTCCGTCTCTGATAAATTGATTTCGTAGGGTGATCACAATGGTGGGAAAGAACCGTGATGAAAATTGGCAGATATGAAAAAAAAACCTAACACCAAAACGGAATCATATGATTTGCAAAAAATGGAAATCAATCCAAATTACCACAAATCAGTCAACTATTCAAGTTGTCAATTACCGCGGTCGCTTGAGAAAGTATTCACTTTTTGGCCAAACTTTTTTTTATTACACACCTAAGTGTGATGAACAGCAGACGAGGTAAACTCCATAGTCACGACGACCTGCTGTTCAGTAGTGGAAACCGGAAACCTAGGCCACGGGACTTGGAGTGGGGCGAACTACATAAGGTC